ATATACAACTTAAACATATAGAGATATTAAATAGTAAGTGATTCATTAGCTTATGTAAAGGATGATGGCACTCAATACAAATAACTAATAAATTATCAATTATTTCGTAAGATATTTGAGTTTAAGATCTAGAGGTGGAATTTTTATGATCACTCTACTCATCTAAATTAAATTTGAAGACAAAAGGCATAGAGATTCTATAGATAAACCAAGCTATTTTTTCTGCAGTCAAATATTTGGAATAACTTACTTGCTTAGCTTACCTTCATTTAATTCAAAATAACTTCAGTTGTTTATTTCAACTCGAAGTCTTATTATTATTATTATTATTTTCTTCTAAAGGTGGCCTTCCCTTTGCTACTGCTGGTAGAAGCTTCACTCCTCATATTTTAACCATTCCTGTGGGAGAGGTAATGTTGAAAAAGTTTATTTTTTTTTTTCTCCTAATAAACTTTAATATTGATATTAGCAAAGTTTGTTCACAAACTTTTTAGCAACGTGTTATATTTGTTTTACCAACTTAATTGCCATATTAACCACTTTCACGTTGTGATACCATTGAACTCTCAATTGCATAAAATGGTATATGAAATTTAGTTTTTGGTTTGATCATGCAGGACGTGGCATCGAAGGTAAATTTATTTGCTAACGAAAGTCACAAAACTGCGTGTGTTCTTTCCGCAAATGGTGTACTCTCTTATGCTGTGATTTATCGTTCAAATTGCATTGCTAGCACGATACATGAGGTATTATTTTTACTATTAATCGTCTAGTTAAAGACAATATTATTATTATTATTATTATTATTATTTTAAAATATAATTAGTTGATTGAGTCATCTCCAATCAACTTAAATTTTTAGGACAATTGGTGTAATTAATTCTTTAGGGTTGTATTAGAATTATAGATTTTATGTTCAATTTCCGATTTCCTAAATTTTACTTGCATAAAATTTGGTGGGTATACGCGTGGTTCATGCTTTAAGCTTAGTGGACTTGTGCACGAAGAACTATGTTATAATATAAATAATTAATTGAGTTATCTCTTATTAACTTAAATTTTTTAAGAACTATTATTACTCTCTTGAATGTCATTCTAATTACTAAAGCAGCATTAGCTTGAGTTTTAAAGCAAGTGATCGTAAATTATTGTTCTGATGGGTATAGAAAAGTGTTTTAGTTGGTAGATCCAAAGTAACTTAAAGTTGTTTATTTTAATATAAGATCCCAAATTATGTATGAATTTCATATAATTGCAGGGCTTCTTTGAAATTCTCTCTCTAAGTGGAGCCATTACTGGTGATGATAATGGTAGACAAACAGGCTCATTAAGTGTTTCACTTTCTCATCCTGATGGAGTTGTTTTTGGTGGTAGAGTTACTGGTCCATTAGTAGCAGCTCTTCCTGTCCAGGTAATTGTATAGATTCATAATATACATACATAAATATATACATATATATATATATATATCACTTGCATATCAATCTTCTTATTTCCTTTTCTTTTAACATAAAAATGAATTTTACTCTTTCATTTAACATGATTGTAGCTTGTCTTGGGTACTTTCAAGCGCAATGCCACTAGGAGCAGGAAGAGAAAAAACCCAGGAGGTCCGTCAACAAAACCTTCCCCTGATGGTAACTTAGAAATGGAAAGACAAACTCCAGACATTAATCTTACCATTACAGATCGGAGGAAGCTTGTGACTCAAGATGGAAACATCAACTCCCGAAACCACGACAGATCAGGAGGAAGCTCATCACTCAAAGATGAAAACGTCAGCTCTGGAGATACTGTTCCCATGATGATCAGAGGAAGCTCATGACTCAAAGATGAAAACCAACTTCTGGAAATTACTTTTCCCATGA